TATACTTAAACTACTAAGGCCTTCAAACACTTCAGTTAAGGTGATATGTAGATCAGAAACATTTAAAAGTGATTCCGAGCCTAAATTAAGATTATATGTGCTATTAGATTGTGGTTTAACATATACCGAAGAAAAATAATCAGCAAAAGCATTACTTATATCAATGTTATTGTTAAATTCTTTATCATTATAAACCATGCTAGAGGGCAATACATTATTTGTTCGTTTATTATTTATATACTTCCAAAAAGATTTGGGATTAACAGTAAAATTATTTTGTAAATTAAGTAGGTATTGTTCACGGCAACGCTTAGAAAAGTATTTACATTTTGCACGCAAATTAGAAAATTTCATGTAGGAAGTTGAACTTAGATTATTTTTATATTCAGAATGAGCTACACGCTTTTCTTTTACTAATGAACGTAAATTTTTATCAAACCAAGATGGAAACTTACGTTTAGATTGTTTAAAAATAGGAATATATATATATTTCATTAATAACGGAATAAAAGTCATTAACCGCACTATTTACATCACCACTAGAAAATAATTGATACCAGTCAATGTTATTAAGACTTAATGAGATTTTATCAAAATTGATATTATTGAAATTCCGATACACTTTCATTGGAGTTGATAAATTATTAAAACTAGAAAACTCGCACATTATATTTAGAGGGGGGTGTGGTTTATCTACTGCAACTAGTGGATTTAAGCAAACATCAACAGTTAATAAATTTAAATTTGTAAAAATTAAATCTAGAATATTGCCATATGGGTTAAATATTGAATTACACTGAGACAAGTTATGTATAGAGAAACAATCATAAATAATATCAACTATTTCGGACCGACGCCCATCCACAACTAAGCCAACGTTGTTGCAAGAAAATGTTGTGCCACGTAAATTATAATCTCCTGCGATAATAACATCAATATTATCTCCAAAACTTGAAAATAACCAGTTTATTGTAGCTGCATGTGTTTCATAAACTGATGGTAGGTTAGTCTCTGGTATATAACATGCACCAATGATAAGCTTATGAGTGTTATTAAAGGTAATCATACAAATATTTGTTCAACAGTATCATAGGGAATCACAATGAGTTCGCTGTTATATTTAATGTTAACACAAATCATTACACCTCCTCCGCGACTACTTTTACTAGTTAGTTCACTTCTATCACATCTAAATATATTGTAGTTATGAAAATTTAATTCTGAATCTAATACTTCGGATTTTAGCCAAGTTTCGGTTAAAATAAAAAAATCTAAGTTTTCACATGAAATATTACAAATAAGATTATTTAATTTATTATTTAGACTNTTTAAAAAATTGGTGTATTATTCTAAGAGCTACATGATCTGCTAGCTCCTTATTAATATCCTGATTAAGATAAAGTATGTCGAATGAAAAAGGGATTATTATTTCTCATAAAAAATTGTGTTGATCCATACACTTTACAATAAGTTATAGCATTATAAAGTTAAAAATGTAAAATATAAAATCGAGAATTTTCACACAAAAATAGCATTCGGTAACTATTTTCACCATGAAGATAAAATAAAGTCCGAAATTTTTTTTTTTCATGATAAAGTATATTACATTAGCTTTAATTTANTCAATAATAAAGTATATTACATTAGCTTTAATTTAAGATATATATAAAAGTGTCAGTATTTCTGGAACACTTTCAAAAGTTAAGTTGAAAAAGTTAATTTTTTGTGAAAAAGTTGTCATTTTAAATCCCTCCCTGTGGGCAGGTCTAGGGTCAAATTTATAAAAAAAATATACCAATTGATAGGTAAAGACATCAAGCATCTATAAAAAAAAATTAATACCTTTTGGGCTTTGTAATGATATACATAGTACATCATTAATATCATAATAAATTATTTGTATACACAATAGATCATTAATGTCATAATGTATTATTTAAGACTTCAATCAATCAATTACACAAAATAAAATGTATACCAATAAAAATAAGATATATATATATATGTACCTTTTAAATGTTTAAAAATATTAATGAAATTTCGTAGAAAAAGAGTATATATTAATTATATAAAACAAACAGGAAATAATAAACAATATGTAATGGTAGCACATAAGATGAAGGGTAATAAAGTATGTCTAAATTATTATATGAGATATGATTGTATTTTATAATATATAGATCATTATTGATGAAAATGTAATAAATAACATGTAATAAATTACGATTAATAAAGAAATAACGGTGACGTCGGGGATTACTTCTTGCCTTTGAACTACGGTCAAATTTAATATAAAAAGCCAAAAATAAAGAGCATTCTAAGACAGATGCAATCAGATACTTACAGAGGCACTCACTACGCTCGACCATTCCACACTACGAAACATATGCAAGAAGTGATCTGCCGTCAACACAGTTATATTTGTTCACAAAATACAAAATCTATTTATTTAAGAGTATAGCAGAAAATATCAAGGTAGGAATCTAATAAATTCACCAAAAATAAATAAGGTTTAAAATTAAATATTATGAGTACATAGATTAAGTAGGCATACAGGAAAATCAAGTGATTATCAATAATAATAAATATACCAAGTAAATTTAATAAATCGATAATGTTTGTACAGAGTTACTTGGCAGAGTTATATCGTTGATACGTGTCTATTTCAGGAGTTAGGTTGGAGGTTCATATGTATAGCCACCATACCACTCTGGGTAGACACACGAGGTGACTCAATCCCACCTATCATCGATAACCGTCAAAACTCGTGGCATTATTGATATTTAAGAATTGACAATTAATTATGATAAATCCCATATTAATAAAATAAAGATCACTTTATTTTTCTATCATCTTCTATCTTTCTTACAGACCCTCGTACTCATATCCCGAGTAATAATATTATTAATACAATAAAGTAGTGGATCAAATAAGAATCAAAATCCCGTCATATTCTATTTAACTTATTTCTTTTGAGCAACTGTCAAAGTAGCTCCCTAAATTAATAACCCCTTAATTATTATCATTATTACTACAATAAAGTATTTAAATTATATATCTTTTTTCTTCTTTTTTTTGATTCACTACAGCTTCGCATCGAAGTTAAAATGATATAATATACAAGGACATAGTTTTATATTTTTAAATTTCATTTTAACCTATAGTTTTTATTTTTTTGGGTTCAGATTAAGAGTCAGATTTATAAAAATATTATAACAAATGATAGGTAAAGACATTGTGCATCTTTAAAATCATTTTATATTGATTTGGTCATTTTTGAAAATGTTATTGCAGTTTGAAGTAAAAAAAATTGAAAAACTTTCGAAAATTAGTGATTTTTAAATTTGTAATTTTTTGGAGATTTCCCCCATTTACAGGGAACGAGGGAAAGTTTTTCAATTTTTGAGGGTAATGTCTTCGACTAGATACAATTTGTGATCTCTTGACGTATCATTGAAAGAAATCGATTCGGTGAAAGCTGAGAAAAAATGGTAACAGACACAAAAAAAAAACACATCATAGTAAAACCAATATTTTCTCAGCTTTGTATCGAAACTAAAAATATATAATAACTAAAAAAGTTTCAGTGCGTATAACTAAAAAAAAAAAACTACTTTTACAGACGGAAATAGAACGACCCGTTCTGACAATAGTTATTTCCCGACAACTGCTGTATCGAATCAGTCAGATTGACAGAGGCGCCTAGAAGTCTCAAGGCATTGTGAGGGGTTCAGGTCAGTCGAACATTACAGAGAGCAAAATAATAAAATTATTTATCCCATACTGGATAATATAATATACAGGGTGATTCATTAAGGATAAGACACTCGTTTACTCAGTAACTATTGAAAATATTAAATTTTTGTACAGAGAAAAATTACTAAGCTTATAAAACTCTACAATAATATGAAGCTAAATAAATTTTTTTTTATCCCTTCAGGGATAAAAATGTTTATTTATAATTTTTTTAAATGGGAACCACTATTTTTGATTTGATAATATGATAGAAAAAAAAATTACAAGCAACTTTGTTCGTACAATTTTTTTTTTCCGATTAACCGTTAGTCCGTTACAGCTTGTTAAAGTTGAGTGATTTTATGCCAAGTTTCTATTGTTATTTTACTGTATTAAATACAGAAGTCATTATTTTTATTTGCTGTTGCATAAACAAAATTTTATTGATCAAGTTATGACAGGTAAATTAACCATAAAAATTTACGACGCACTAAATGAGTGATAACAATAATAGATACAAATCGGATTTTCGGTGTATTATTAATAGCAGTCTTTGGGTATGTAAGACTAAAGCATAAATTTCTTAGCCTCCCTTCACCATAGTATAATAACTAAATACAATCAAATACTACGATAATGTTATCGTAATCATTCTTTACACAAAATAATCTTTTTAACTTTTGTTGACTGATATGAATTAAAAGCTTTAACATAACCATATAAACGCTCGTCTTTTAAAAGATTTTTGTTCGTTATTTAATTATCTTAAACATAACCTTAAAAAACTAAACTGGTACAGTACTAATTTGCTGGCTGTACTACAAGATTGCGTGGTCAAACATTTTTGTACATTAATAATGTTACATTGTTTAATTATTATCTAAATATAGTGTTTTAGTGCAGTAAATTAATAAAAAACTGTTTTATTTGTATGTTGTTACAATTAATAAATTATATTTGAAAGTTTATTGAAATAATTAAATTTAAAGAATATCGAACAATAGGCGAGTACAATAGACAATGAAGTAAATTTTATAGATCTGTCTTAATAATTTTATTTTATGAAATAGCTGCAGAAAAAATGAAATTTACCGAAAAATTTTCTCAAATTTCTTTTGAGAAAAATAAGTTTTGCTGTAGTGACATTTTACTTAAAAAGTAAGTCAATATAATGATGTAATATTACATGTGTAGTATAATTAAGGCCAGATTTAAAAATCTCCAGGCTCCAAAAACATGTATTGATGATCTTTTTTTGGCTATAGATTTTTAATTTATTTTCCAACTATTCCAAAATGATTATAATATACAGAACAATATTGGTATACTATATTTAACAATTTTGTAAGTAATTATCTAAATTTAACTATTTGAATATATTTTTTTAAATTGGTTAGCAAATAGACAAAAATTTGACATTATATCCATATTGAAATTAAACAATTTTGTATAATTGGGAATGTTATAAATGAAATGATATTAATAATATGATATTTTAAAACATTTTGTATGTAATAAACTTCAATAACCTTTATTATGAAAGTATGTTAAAATAATGTAATTTTAAAACTAATTTTAAACTTTTCACTGATTAATTAAAATAATTTTTATCTTAGTTAAATTAGAGTTCTCAAATTGAATAATTGTATGGTTCAGCTACAGAATATTAATACACAATTTTATAAAGAGAACTTATGATTGTGTTATGTTTCACTGTAGATAATAAATAAATATTAAGCAACCATTTTGATATGGTGCTCATAGCTATTATTATTTAATTAAGTGTGCATGGATTAGAACACTTAATTTATTTCACTAAATAGCAACAAGTGTCCTTAAAATATATAAAAATTTGCATAAATTAAAATTATTTTGAATTTTATTTAGAAAGTTGCCAACAGTAAATAAATTTGTTAAAAAAATTGTTTTAATATAAATTCAGTTTTTAGTTTTGATACCTGCTATTGTAAGTTATCATCTGTATTATTAAGTATGCACTTATAAGTAAACTAAGATACTTCAATATCATAAGATTAATATCCTAATCATATTAAGAAACAAAAAAAGATTGTAATCATAATTTTTTATTACTGTCTATCATAATAAAGTCATCTATCGAATTAACATATAGTTCTTGAACAAACTAAAGTGAGTTTAATGAAATCATTTTTCCTTTTTTAGTATTACAAATTTTATTTCATGTAAGTTAATTTATTTTGTTATAAATTTGATTTCAGTTATAGTTTTTGTACAATTTTGATGTCTATTGGTTTTGTATACACTTGTCTTAACATACTACATTAGTAAGCTTTAATTTCATATCAGATCAACATTAGAATGAATTGTTATACTACAAATACAGTATTGTAGCTAAATTTCTCATTTGAATTTTCATTGAACAATATTAGATTGCAAAAAAATAAATAAATCTAATAGTAATTGTTAAATTTTTTAATTAAAATAGGGCAATGTAATAAAGTAATACATGTAGTTATTATAGTACTATTTTTATGATGTAATATTAGAGGGAGTAGTAAGAAAATATCTTAAAATTTAAGATATAAGTAATTGTTATTTTATATGTTACTTTCAAGTATTTAAAAAAAAAATATAGTAAAATTATTATTTTTATAGATAATATGTTTACTACAGTAGAATTTTGATAAGGTTAACAATATTGCGTTCCTTGAAAAAGAAAATTTTACTCAAAAGAAATAAATATTATAGATAATACAAATAAATTATTTGTAGTTGTATAGCTAAAAGATTTGAATGTGGTAGGTTAGACTAGTTAAAGCAATTAGTTTAAATTTAAAAGCTGTTAATTATTAAAATAAATACATAAATTCATTAAAACTTCACAAATTTTAGTATTGCCAATTGGAATCAATCTGTTATATTTTTATAAATAAGTGTTGAATACAAACTCAAATTCTTAAATAATTTTAAGTCAAATTTTTTTTTTAATAGTTCAAAAACCTTATTAAGTTAAAAAAATAATTTCCCTTGAGCCTTAACTTATCCAGGTTCTACTGTATTTTAAAATTGGCATCNCCCTTGAACCTTAACTTATCCAGGTTCTACTGTATTTTAAAATTGGCATCAGTGCCGTGCCAAGAAAAGGGCATAGGATGATATAAGGGTCATACACTTTGCAATATTTAATTGTTATAATTGATAATTATTTAATATTAGAGGATGCTAACATATAATTTAAAAAAAAATTATATATATATATTTTATAAATTAAAATAAATAAATAATAAATAAATTTTTACCTATTCTCTTTTCATTGTGTCAGTGCTAGGTTTTACAGTTTTTCTTGTGCTTGAAAGAAAGTAGTTTAGGTGGGATAAATTTCTTCCAATAAAAATTATTACATGATGAAGATATTATTATTTTTTTTAAGGGAGAAATAATAGTTATTCAGAACAAAAACTCCATACTAGACCTAACCTCAAGACCTATACTAGTGGAGGCATGATTGCAATGCATTTTATGAGGGATCAAGGTTTTTTTTGTGAAACTGGTTTTTTTTCATTAGGAATTGTTAAAATGTCTGTATGAGGGTTATCTTAATACTTAATTTTCTATGGCATTACGCATATTCTACATGAATTCATGTATTACGCATATTCTGTCATGGAATAAAGTATAAGGTATAACTCTCATACAGGTGTTTCACAATTCCAAAGTGAAAAAAATTCTAAGTTGAGCAAAAAAAATAAAGTTTTCTACAAAATAATGATAAAAAATAATTGAAACGGTCATTTCAAAAACGACATGAGTAATAAAATTTAAATTTCCATGTATCAAAAAAAACTTAATTACTCTAGAAATCCAACTTGTTTTGCACTTCCACTTATTTACTAATTTATTTTTAAGGTTTCTGGTATTTATAATTCATAGTTTTAAATAGTCTAACTTTGACCAAATTCATTAAATTGAAATAAAACATGTTTGATTTGCATTGTTTTTGCAGTGAATAGAAATTTATAATATGAAATCTAAATAAAAAAATAAAATAAAATAATATATTTTTTTTCCTAAAAATTTAACTTATCTTAACTTGGTATGGGTAACAACTTTTTTCAAAATAAAAATTTTGTTGTTTTTGCTTAATAAACCATTGCACTTTTAATAAAACATTTAAAAAAAAATAAAATATTTCTCTTTAATAACAAAAACTTAACTTGACAAAATGTTATAATACAGAAACATTTTTGAATGAAGTCATTGACTTTTGTAGTAAATATGAATCTGACAAATGAAATTTTTACCCAAATACATAAGTATACATAATAATGTATAATTATCAAATTCGNTAAGTATACATAATAATGTATAATTATCAAATTCGACAAAGTCATTACTGAAAAATCAGTGACAAATGTAGTTTTTGAAATGACTGATTCAATTGAAGTGCTGGTTTCAAAAACAATCAGCATTTTGTATAACATACAAATTCATGCAATTTTGATCCTTAATCAGGGTTGGGTAATAAAATTAACTTTTTCATGTTTTTATATTTTGTGTGATAAATTATGTGTTAGTCATTCTTGTAGAAATTTTTTGGGATTTCAACGATTATATTTTTAAAGTGAAGTAAAAATTAATTAAATAAATACAATATTTTAATATAAATTAAAAAAATAATCTATTTTTAAATATGAATCATTTGTCATGATATGAGTATTGTTTGTAAAAAAGTCGATGTGTAATGTGTACATATCATACTTATACTTTTGTGTATTATGCTGACCCAACTCTGACCTTAATAAACAAACGAGCAAAAGTGTCATTTTGTTGAGGCCCACAAAAAATATAGTATTTGATAGTTGTTAATTATTTCTATGTACACAAATTTATTCATTTTAAATGTAAGTATAGTATTAATTATAAATTTTTTGTTCTAATAATAATGTATTTATCAGAATATAGACAAGATATAATAAAAATTAGTAATTATAACTTTATAATTAAAATATAGCAAAAAATTTTTCTATACTAATATAATAACTTTATGGATTATTCAATTAAATTAAGATTACGATTGGATCCAAAAATATTTATGTAATGTAATCATTGTAGGAAAGATCTAGCAAATTTTAAGGTTAAATTTTAATGTAAAAATATTAGTAACACAATGTATTATAAGCCATTTAAAATTAAATTTTTTACTTTATTAATAACTATTTTGTAAATATTTTTGTATAGTTGATTAAATTCTCTTTAAACGTGTAATTTTTAATTTTACCTTGTTATTTTTTTATTTTAATACAAAATAATATTGAAATGTAAATAATATTATATCTATTATTGACTGATTAAGTATTAAGTTTATTTTTTTGTATCTTGTACAGCATTAAAAAATTGTACCATTTTAAAAGCAATAACTGTGATTTGAATTTTTATGGTTTAATTTATCAAAATAAAATTTAATATGGTTTTGGTAATATAGTGAAATTCTAAGAATATTTAACATACTAAAAAATAAGTTTTGAATTTAAATCTATGATTTTAGTTTAAGAACAGTGATAAATGTCAAATTAATTTAAACATGAAATAACAACTAATTAGATAATTGATTTACTCTTTATTTTGAAATTAGAACTCTTTTAAATCGTATAAATTGATTCTTGATATTGTGTAAGTAGTAAATATAGTTATTAAAATAGTTAATTAACTAACATACCAATATACTGCAATAAAAATAATGTACACATTGATAGCGATGAAACTTAGCTGATTTCTTATAGCCGATAGCAGAGTTGGGCATTATTCGAATAAAAAATTATTCGATTGATTATTTGAATAAAAAATTATTCTTTATTCGTTTATTTTTCATTTGATTATTCTAGATTATTTTTATTCTAGATTATTTTAATTTTTACAATAATTCGTTATTCATTATTCAACCAGTTATTCTACATTTTTTATTCATTATTCGGTTATTCATTATTCAATTATTCGTTATTCATTATTCTTCATAGTCGTGTTTATCTCAAATGATTCGTAGGTAATTTAAAATTACAACTTAACTGAAAATTGAAACTAGTATTTCTTTCTTATTGTTATATTACCTGCAGTAAAAAATGTCAAAACCAAAAATCATAAATAATTTCTATGAGGCTAATCTAAATGGTTTAGCACTAGATATCGACATGTTATTTACCTGCGTTTTACTGCTTTAATAACATTTTTATTATTAATTAAAAACAATGTTTGACATAACTTGATGTAGCTGAAGATGTACTGAAATTTAATTTAGTATAGTATCGACAGTTAACTATATAGTTATTTTCGTTTTTCTATAAGTGCGTAAAAATAATACAGTTATGGATGATTTGAGTATTACGAGTGGCAGTGACACAATTTTAGTTTATAATGATGAAAGCAGGTCAAGTTCATCTCAAAGTGTGCAACTATTGGAGGGCCAGAGTCAAACTATTTCCCAAGATGAGTAAAGCGAATATGCCAAGCTAAGATAGCATTTAACAAAAAGAGAGGACTTTTTACTTCAAAAAATATTAGCATACGTACCAGAATATATCTCCTGAAGACATACGTATGGAGTATAATGCTGTATGGCAGCGAGACGTGGACGATTGCCAAAGAAGAGCGAAGAAGAATAGAAGCTTTCGAGATGTGGTGTTTCAGAAGAATGCTCAAAATAAGTTGGACGGGCATGGTAACAAACGAGGAAGTATTAGAAAGAATGTCCGAGAGAAGAACTTTATGGAGCAGTATCAAGAAAAGGAGAAATGAATGGATTGGACATGTATTGAGACATGGTGGGTTGCTAGGATTGATTATAGAAGGCTGCGTGGAAGGAAAAAATGCTAGGGGAAGACCACGAATGGAATATATGCAACAAATAATAGAGGACCAAGGATGTACTTCTTACGAAGAGACAAAGCAAGTAACAGGGATGAGTGGAGAATTGCTACAAACCAATCTCAGGATTGAATACTGAAGAAGAAGAATGGTTAAAGCATTTGATGTATTTGGTGTAAAAATGGCACATTTTAGAAAACTGAGCGATAGTCATGATACTGATGAAAGCGATAGCGATTCAAGTGTTAATAGTTTTCAAAGTGAAGATTTAGAAAATGAACCTCACATTATTCTTTCTAGGCATATTCAATGTTGTGCTCATACATTAAGCCTTTGTGCTACCAGTGATTTAATGAAATCCATCAAATCATCACTACATCTCAATGAAATGCATACTAAAGTCATGCAAAAGTGTAATACATTATGGAATGCGGCAAGTCGACCAAAATCAGCAGAGATAATTCAGTCAATTTTAGGACATACTCTATCAAGACCCGGTGAGACGAGATGGAATTCACTATTTGACTCGTTAACTCAAATTCAAAAATAAAAATCTAGTGAACTTACTAGAGCACTTAATTTAAAGCAGTGTTCATTTACTGCTTCTGACCATAATTACATTGAAGAATTTTTGTTTTGTGTTAAGCCTTTATCACAGGCATTGGACATATTACAAGGAGATAAAATTGTATTTTACGGTATGGTTATTCCTACACTATTATGCTTGCAATAAAAATTAATGATTGTTGACAGTGAAAAATTGATGTATTATAAATTAATTCGAAAAAGTCTCCTTGATAGCATCGAAAAAAGATTTTCTAATATTTTAAGTTTTAATACAGTCGAAGCTGATATTGCAGCTTTTTCTCACCCCAAGTTCAAAATAAGTGGTTAAATTGTATTCATACGTCATCTTCTCGTGATAAACTTTTATCAATATTTAAAAAAGCAGTAACAGCTGAATCTAAAACAAAAACTTGTGAAGAAAATTTTGAAATTGAAGACGATCACTCTGACTTTTATGACTTTGGTCCAGCAACACAAAACGACAGAACAGATACATCGACGTCTACTGAGATTGAAGTATGTTTATGAAATTAAATGTTTTAATTATAATTAATTTAACTATGGTTTTAAATGTATGTTCAAGGTGTTAAAATATTTTGAGGATCCACGTCAACGTCTTGAATGTTTAAACTCGTATCCTACTATCAAAAAAATTTTTCTTCGGTACAATACTCCTGTGGCGTCTTCAGCTCCAGTAGAGAGACTTTTCTCTTTTGCGACGATGACAAATTTACCAAAGTCAAATAGGTTGTCAGATGATTTATTTGAGTATAAAGTTGTATTAAAATCAAATTTAAATTATGAATTACAAAATAGAAACTAAAATTAAAATTAATTATTATTTTTATCACGATTATTGTTACTATTATGTAAATTATTGATATTGTTGTTATAATTATTTGCTTTGTTATGTATATTATATTTTTATCATAATTTTGTTACACCAAAATTGGATATTATTCACAAATTATTTAACTAATTTATTCAGAATAATCAATTTATTCATAAGTTAAATTATTCAGAATAATTTTTATTTTTTATTCACAACTAAAACTATTTAAAATAAAATATTATTCTTTATTCACAAATTAATTAGTTATTCATACTTTTATTTTTTATTCATTAGTTTGATTTGTTTTTGCCCAACTCTGGCCGATAGGAGGTTTTAATGGGATAAGTTACTTCTAACATCTCTAAGAAAGGTTAATTATTAATAATTTTTTTTTATTGAAAAATTATTAAAAAGTTATTTCAAATTTAAGTTGGTAAAAAAGTATAAAAACACTGAATATTCATTATTACCAGTATTCATAAAAATACCCGCCCTTATCTTTTTTTCAAACCTATTAAAAGGTTTGGTTTTACCTGATTAGCGGGAAAAGAAAAAAAGGGAAGTTTTTATACGCGCAAATTGAAAACTGCTCCTCTAAAATAACTAAAATACTACCATATACATATAAGTGTAATTATAACCTAAAATTAACCTTCTAAATGTAATCGTGCTTAGACTTTTACATGAATTTATTAACAGTCCTTTGCATTACGAGTGTTGTGTGCAAACCGTCAGTAATAACATGTATGTTGGTTAAACTATACATGAAACGAATATACACGTGTTAAAAATGAATATCATAATACGTTATTGTTAATATTATAAAAATTATGGAATATTTTTCTTCAAAATTTTATGTTGAAGTACCAAGTATAATATACATATGAGCTATTCATAAAGTCACATCTGATTACTTTTATTAATAAAGCTTCACTTTCATTAATTAAATGTTTACAAAACACGTTTTACTGAAGTTTATTATATGAATTATTGAGTTGTTTTATTTGATTACTGCTACTATTAGTGAGTAATATTTTTTTTAAACAATTTGTAATTTTTTACTAACGCATCATTTATTATTCATAAATGTATATGTATATGTTAAATGTATATATAATGTATATGAGGAGATCAGTGAAGGATATTAGGTTTTTAAAACTATAAAGATACATTTTATTGAATATGAAATAAACCCCTAATTATGTTTAACAAAGAAAAAATAAAGATCATCTAAATAAAAATTTCGGTCATTTTATGTATCCTTACAAATTAGAAAATTTGATATATATATATTTTTTTTAATTAATTCAATTGATGCTGACTTAAAAAAATTAAAGTTAAAAATTATAATTTTTAAAATTGGGAACCCCTATTTTTAATCTGTTAATATAATAGGAAACAAATTTGTTTTGACAATAAAAAATCATTAGTAAATTGATATCATATTACTAAACTTATTATTGCAATTTATGTGCATTTGAAACAGATTTTTGTTGTTATAGTGGTGGGAATTAATAAATAAAAAAATTATGCTTTCATTAAATAAATATAATAAAATTAACGTTTGGTCTTTTTTGCAAAATACAATGAAAAACTATTAAAACATTTTTTACGTTGCCTATAAATAACGTTAATATTAATCTACTTAATTCAGTATTTTTATGCTCAAAAAGGGTAATGACCCGTATGGAATTTTAACCATGAATTTAGATTTATATTTTGCTCCTTACCAACCGAGTTAATTCGGTTTATGACAGTACAAATTTTTCATTTCAACAACTTAATACATGCTTTCAACAAAAAATAGTTAATGCATTTGATATACCTAAAGATATTATTATTTGATATAGTAGTTCTGTCAATGGTTTCTCTACTCAGTACAAGCTTTGATGATTCAAAATTTTGTTATGATGAACGCCCCTTCACACTGATAAGTAGAGTGATTTTTTTATCATAACACATGACATAGTCCCGCGCTGCTTTATGATAAACACGCCACATTTTCAGCAATTGTCATACTACGTGTATATAGTAGTTTGACTGACCAACACCGCGTGTCATCCTCCTCTATATAAAGTCCAACTAGTGTTGAAGAAGACCGGCCGCAATATACTTTTTCACGTCAACAAAGTGACAACGTCGATGATACTCTCTACCAGCTTCGGAAGTGTCTAACGACTGGATATGACGTACCGCTCCGTTGCCATCAACACTTCTATCTTTGACGTGCAATGACCATGCCGGACACTGTGTTGCCGACGCCAGCGAAAGTACCGTGATATAAAATTATTATTAATTGCGTTCGTATTTTCAGTTTTTTTTTAAATAATCTATTTTTAAAAATAAACAATCAACAGGTCTAAACCCAACCGGTTTAGATGGTAGATCTAAACCAGTGCACAATGGTTTGAAAGCGAATTTTAGGCGCTCATAAGTTTCATTTTAAAATGTACTCAAAATGTTAAAATAATTATGAAAACTCAATTCTATTATATTGTTTAGACAAAATATAAAATTTCAAGGTCACATGTAATCCGGTCGTTATTTATAGCCGTTTGAAGTATAAATATGGTTATATTACGGTTATTTTAACATAAAAAGGGTCTTTTCTTTGATGTTAAAAAACTTTTTTTTTCGAATTTTTTTTTTTATTAAAAGTAAAGGTCAAAGATATTAAAAAAAAAATTATAAATTTACAAAATTATAAAATTATATAGTATAAATAAATTTTCTATTAATGTGCAAAATTTATTTGTCAATTCCGAATTGAACGTCGAAGATGAAATAAATAACTTAAACAATTTGATTTCAGAAATTGAAATAAATAAAAACGATTTGTAAATAATAAATGTGCGAATTGCTATAATCTTATTAGCCGCATGCACAGTTGTTTTTGTCCGCCGCAAAAAAAAATTATATTTTTGAGTCTAGACTACTTGCTCTACAATATCTATGTATTGATATTTGGGTAAAATAGGATTTTAGTATTGTGATTTTTATTTTCGAAAATTACTCAAAAATACTATAATATTTTATTAAAACGATCATTAGTTAGTCAAAAAAAAATTTTTTTCGAAATTTATTTTTTAACATCTTTGACCTTTACTTTGAATAAAGTTGTTGGATACACAACGGTCGAATATGCTGTCGAGAAATTATGTGATACGTGTTATCGTTTTGTTACATCGAGTTGTTGTCGGTCTTCTCTGTATGTCTGCATTGTCGCCACCATATTAACACTTCCTCAGCTATAAGCTCTATGGCGTTTGCGAGCCAACAGTTTTGTATTCGTTTTTATTGTAAAAAAAAAATATCACCTTTGCGATTGTCGTTCCCTGTATGACCAGTTTATCGCCGTTGGGTCTATATATTTTCTAAGATACATCACAATACCGTTGACAGCATATTGTACACATTGGTCAGCTATTTGCATTCGACTTGTAATGTTGCAGAATTTATACGAGTTTTTTTTAATAAATCTTATCAGTTAATAGTGTGTGCATTAGGTATTATGTATGTCCCCAATTATAAAATTAGCTTATATACCAATCAACCGATCCAATGGTCAGTACCCGGTTTGTTGTGACAGTTGACCGCACACAGTGCATCCCTACTCTTTTATATTCTCCCTATGAACCAGTTCAAAGTTGGCACCCCCACCACCCGGCGACATCATGATCACCGGCCACTATCCAAATGCCGCGACAATGAATTTTTTTTTCTCATCTATACCACCGAGACGACAAGTTGTCTGTTCGTTTTTTTTTTTCGTTGTGAAAACCACGTTTTTGTATTTTTTTTTGTCCTCCGTTTTTTTTCTAATAAAATAAAACGTTGAGTCGACCGGCCGTCAACCAGGCTGTTTATTGTATTTTTTTTGTCCTCCGTTTTTTTTTGTATAAAATAAAACGTCGAGATGTCCACGATGGCGTAAGACACAACTATGGCCGGTGGTGGGCTGGCACTTCTCAAAACAACAGCATCAAGTATAACGTGAAACCCCCCTGTTCTACCCATTATTAATATTGTTAATATAGCACCTTCTTTTTGCTTCCTTTTTTTTTATTATTCTTCCTTTATGAAAATATATATATTTAAAATAATAATTATAAAATTTTAATCATTAATTAAAAAAAAATGTTGTTATATTATACATGGCTTTTTTTTTTTCTCTATACTTTTCCCTCATATTTATTAACATTTGTTTTTTTTTGTTTTTATCAAAACCTAGTAGCTCCGTCAACAAGTACTATCTTGTTTGGCGCGGCTACTAGGTCACTGTCCAGTGTTCCCCCTGGGCAGTGGGTAATTAGTAGGCCCTCTGTTTTGGCTGAAACCTTACAGACTTCAATTGTATTCGCACACAATTTGTAGTATAAGGTAGTTATAATTTAGTAGTAAAAAATTTTTTTTAACTATTCAAAATTATAAGCGATTAACTTATAAAGTATTTAACAGCTTAAATATTAAAAAACAATTAGTATCAAATTAAACCAATTTTTTTTTTCAATATTATAATTATTTTAGGAGAAATTTAGTGATCAATGATAAATATATCCACTTGTAAATATGGCTGTATTATATTGTTTGATCCATTTTGTTTTCATTAAGTTTTATTGTATAAGTGCGTTTGCCCGTCGCTTACCGCTTTCTCTTATAATATAACAAGTAGGCAAGCGATGAAATTGTCATCGTAAAGGACGGCATGCCACGTATGCCAATAATTTCATACAAAAATAAAGTACTATAAACTAAATTAAAAAGTTTTATATCGTTCTTTTTAGTAAATATTTAAAGTAAACGTATTATACAGTCCATTCTGAGACCGAAACCATATATAACTACATGAGGATTTAAAAAAAAATCGACTTAAGAAAGGATTCATAAAATATAATATATAAAAATTAAATTTATTAGTATTAGTAGATCTATAAAGTATGAGCTGGAACCCCCCCTAACCGACATTTTGTGGGTTTACCCTGCCATAGGTAGACGGGCCCCGTTGCGCTGCGCTACAGTGTCGGCGTGATCGGGCTCTACGGGGCTACGAAACGTCGGCACGGTCGCAGTTTCGCTAGCTCGGGGAATCGGGCGCGTCCTCAGGTTGCGGATAGAGGAACGGCCTGCAGATATACAAGTTAGCCGTAAAATAAGCAGTCCATTAGTTTGGACTG